CAAGCATACCCTCAGGGACGTATTAATATTATGGGAGATAGTTTGGTTGTAGAAGTCCCAGTATAAAAGCAATCTCTTGATGGAGGATCTTCCCTACTGAGAGATGCCGTTTCTTATATTCAGTTGCAGCAAATGCCTGGCAGCCCCCGGTAAGATGTTGGATGGTTTCTTGGGCTTGACATCCATATCGGCATTTGTCGTTTTGGACTTGAGGGTCTTTGACAATATATTTCAGGTAATTTTTGGTTGGTATAACCTGATCCTGAATGGCAAGTAATGAACCTTCTGTTTCAGAGAACATCTTTCCTGATGTCAACCAATAGTTCGACGCTATATTGTCGACATAGTCTTGGCTGACCTCATTCGGATGTCAGATGATTAATTAACATTAAGATTATAACTGTTTTTTTTTTCATTCTAGGGGTAATAGATTTTTTTGATTTTGCAATTTAAGTATTTTTTTTCATTTATGAAATAGCAGTGTAATGTTGTTTGGGTTTTTGTTCTCTTATTACTAAGTACCTAATAAATATTCTATTGATTGTAAAAAGATAGTGTATGGTCAGGATATTTCAACATTACAATAAATTCAGTTAACCATTACACAAGCATCCTGCTTCTAGTATTATATAAACATTGTTTTTTGTAAAATAGTTTATCCACTAATATAATCTGCTCAAAAATAGTTAAAATCGGAGATATCTATAGGCTCAGAAAAAATTGATAGGAAAACGTAAATGGTTCTCTTACTTACTGCTTAAATTTCGAAGATTGAACTTTTTTAACGCCTTTAATTTTTAAAGCATGCGATTTAAATGATTTAAAAAACAACTACTCACACTTATGTGCAAATTTAAAACGTCAACGTCTCAATTAATTTTTATCATTTAAAAAAAAATGTGACATTTTTAACAAATTCTTATTAGTGCATCTTTTCCACATTTCTGTTTTTAAAAAATATAATGTTTAAGTTATAAAAGAAGTTGATCACATTGCAACGTAGAACTTCACTAGAGTTGCTGGACCTTAGACGAAGTGTCTGTGAGGACTTATTAACAGATAAATAATATTCTTTCTTTCTTTCTTTCTTTCTCCCCTTCTTTTACCCTATCAGGGTGTCGGATTTGGGCTAGCTATTTTAATTTCCATTTACCCACCTCTTCCATTCTTTTTTGTTTCCTGCCATTATTTTCAATTCCTCGAGTGATTTTTGTTTAAATTTTCCCGCCTCTACTACTTGCTGCATCCATTCATTTGTCTCTTTGCTATTTTGTTCATTATCGGTTCCTGGTTGGCCATTTTCCTAATAGTCTCGTTGCTTAATCTATCCCATTTTGTCTTTCCAACTATCCTTCTTAGATGTCTCATCTCCATTGCGTTTACCCTGCTCTTATGTTTTTCCAGAATTGTTTTCACTTGCATAGAGCACAGTCGGTATCACTATTGTGTTATATATTTTTATTCTTGTTTCTCGTGTAAGTTCTCTTTTTCCCATTATTGGGGCTAACGCATAGTATAACTTGTTTGATTTCTTTGCTCTATTTGTTATTTCCCAGTCTATTTTTCCATCATTAGTTATTATACTTCCCAGGTATTCGTAAGTTGATACTATTTCCAATTCTGAATTTTTACATTTTATCTTTATTTGATTATCTTCCTGATCTCCATCGCCGCTGATTATCATTATCTTACTTTTTTCTCGTTTATCTCCATTTTTAGTTCTTCTATTTGTTCTACCCATATATCCATTAGTTTCTGCATTTTATTCTCGGAATCTGCTATTAGTACTATGTCGTCTGCATACATTAAGGACTCTATTGTTACCGGTTGTAATCGGTAACAATAGAGTCCTTAATGTACGGTACTATTATGAATAGCAAAAGGCTGAGACTATCTCGTTGTTTAATACCTCTCTTCCAATTAAATGCTTCCGATCTTTCCCCTGTTATTTGTACCCTTCGTTTTACCTCTTTGTAAGTACTTTCTATAATTTTTATCAATGCATTAGGTACATTTATTTTTCTTAAGCATTTCTATATAATATGTCTTTCTATCGTGTCAAATGCTGCTCTTAGGTCTATGAATGCTAATACTAGTTTTTCGCCCGTATCTATGCTTCTTTCTATTAGGTTTCTAATGATATATATGTTGTCATTTGTCTGTCTTCCCGGTCTAAATGCCGTTTGTTCTTCTCCCAATACCATTTCTACTTCTTGTCTCAGTCTCTTCTTTATTATTTTCGTATATATTTTAAAACATGCCGATGACAGACATATTGCTCTATAGTTGTCGCAGTTTAAATGTTCTCCTTTTTTGTATATTGGCACGATGATATTCTTCTGCAAGTCTTAAGGTATTGTGTTTTTTCCACGCCTCTTTATATATTTTCCATAGCCAGTTTATTCCTTATTCTTTCATGCATTTTACCATTTCCGGTTCAATTTCATCGTCTCCACCTACCTTGCCTATTTTTATATTTGATAATCCTTCTATTACTTCTTCTCTACTTATTTGCTCTAGCTCTGTGTTTTCTTCGCCTTCATTGTTTATATTGTCTTCATTTATTACTTCGGTATCAAATTTTTTCTCATAATATTTTTCCATACCCTAGCTACTTGTTCTGGGCTTATTTGTATTTGGTTTGAAGTATCTCTTATTGCGTTTATTTCCTTTCGTCCTTCTTGCCTTATGTGTCGTATTGTTGTCCAAAAGTTTCTATTATTTGTTATATATTCTTCCTGAAGTTCTTCTCCAAATTCTTTCCATGTTTTTGCTTTTGCTTGTGTGACTGTCTTTTTTACCAATTGTCTCTGCCTATAGTATTTTTCTTAATAAATAATATTAAAAAACTTATTAATAGCAACTGATTAAAATGACATATTCAGACGAAAGTCTGAAAAAGTAGTCAATTTAACCATAGATGTGTGTCTAAATGTGACAGTAGTCAGCAATATGTATAATTAAATATGTTAAAATTTGATTGATTATAACAGTAGCAACAATCAATATGTTGGTATATAGGGTTTGATTTTCCCTGAAAGTTTGTTAGAAAAATTATAATTTGGGTACTATTGTAGGTGGACTAAAGGTTGATAAAAATATTAATGTAGGTAGGCTACCTACTATACAGATATATGAATTCAATAGTGAGGAAATAAAGATTTTTATAATAGGTAAAATGTGTTTTTTCAACATTTGGTACCTGCAATATGGAAAGCACATATGTGTAGGAAGTTGGTATTTTTTAAATTTATTATTACAGAGTGAAATGTTAATTGATTTATGTGAGTGTGTATTTAATATAATAAAAGGTGAACAGAATAATTGGTGTAATATACTGTTGATATATTACTTAACATGTTAACAACAATATTTGATACCTGAGAAATATAAGGTGTCTAAGTTATAAGTTCATGAACATAAGGTGGATGAAGAGAGTTAATTAAATATTAAAGTATGCCAACAAAATACGGGAAACCAACAAAATTGATGTGTAAAGAGTGGCTCTGTTTGCTAAAATTGTAATATGTAACGTTTTATTGTTATTGTAAGATGAAAAATGAACTGGATAAAAGAGTGAGATGTTCAGAGGTCCGAAACTATAACCCAAGGAAAGCATGTGTAGATAAGGGAAATTAAATATACTATAAAGAAAATTTAGGAGAGGGATGATTTTATTTAGAGTTGTGGTAAAAATGGTGTGGACATTACTGTAATATTGTAAATAATAAGCAATATTTTTACTAAAAATATAATCACTTAAATAATTGGAAAATGACGCTATTTTTTAACTGAAATATCTAGAAGTCAATAGAGAAGGCGTGTTAACTTGTGGTTATACAAACTTTTACTATAAACCTCGAGCAAAAGTACGTGTTAACGAACAGCTGTCAGAAGAAATTTAAATTAGGTTTGGAGTGAGGGTGCGTATTGTCGCCAATTCTTTTTAATGACTACTCCGAAGAGATCCTGAAAAACGCTCTTAAGGGTAAAACAGCTGGAATAAAGGTGAATGGAGTTCTCAGTAACAATATTAGACATGCGGACGACATTGTGATATTAGCCGAAAATAATAAAGATCTTCAGAGACTGGTGACCAGAATAGAGGAGTATGAAAAAGAGTATAGTCCAACAATAAATGTCAAGAAGATGAAATTTAAGAATATCTCAAAGAAATAACGAGAATCTTCTAACAAACGGAACCGACGTAGAACAAGTAGACAAATATGCATATCTGGGAACAATGACTAACTCCACAAACGGTTATATTCAGGAGATAAAAATCAGAATAGAAAAGGCTAGACCAAATTTCAACAAAATCAGAAGAGTGTTATGTACAAGGGATTTAAAATTGGAACTAAGAGTTAGGTTGGCGAGGTGCTTTGTTTTTTCGACTTTATTTTATGGAATGGAATCTTGGAACTTGAATGCGAATTCAATGAAGAAGCTGGAATCATTCGAGCTATGGGTGTACAGAAGAATATTTCTGAAAATATCGTGAACAGAACACGTCGCAAACAAAGAGGTTCTGAGAAGAATGAATAGAGAAATATAAATTTTAAATACAATTAAAACAAGATAATTGGAATGGTAACCTGAGAGAATGGTATGGAAGTACATCAAATGGCTGTACTTTTACTAAGTATTAAATGTCTACTATTCAATACTTTGAATGTTTTTTTGCCTGATACTCATTATAAGGTCTCAAATTTTCATGTTTTTAAAAACTTTAATAGTTTGTTTACTTCTAAATAATTGATGCACAATGAAGTACCATTACTATTATATCGGCAATATCCCTAACTTATGCCGCGCAGTACAGTTTCTTTAATCAAAATTGTAATATTTAGAAGATAAGTATTTATTTTTGAATTGTGGTTCATTTTAAAGTGCTTTATTAAAAGCTAAGATTAAAACTCAAGACAGTGCTAAAAAAATAACATAATAATGTAAACATGCGAAAAAGATGAAAAAAAAATATAAACAACTAAATCTCTTACCAGGTTTTAAAAGGTCGTGTATGCTCTGAGGCCTCACAGCCCTCGCCTCTCTGATCGTGCTTTCCACTAACGCAGTATCATCGCTCTGCTCTTCCATCAAATCATCGAAAAAGTACCCAGAACTACCCGAAAAACTCAAACACACCACCACCACTACACCATATACTCCCATCATTTTCATCATGTTTGTTTAACTTTGAAAGAAAACAACTAAAAATCTAGAGCACTCTGAGGTTCGGCAACTTTAATTTTAAAATTACGAACAGAGATGTATTTATAAACCCGTATCTCTTGCCATATTTTAATAGTGGAAAGATTGTATCAGATGTGGTTTGCAATTACATAATAGGTAATATAGTTTTGGATTGCTTTGTGGTTTAATGTAATAGGACACAGTCGAATCAGCTTAATCAGTTACCTGTGGCGTAGATTTGTTGTTCTTGCAGTGGAATAAAAAATGAAGATAAAAATGGTAAAAATGATAAAATTTATTCTGATTTTAGAACTTATTATTTTCGTTTGTTTAGGGACAATTTTTACCAGATCTAATTAAAAAATTGTAGTAGATACTGACCGACAAAAAAACATCAGTAAGTTAGAAAACAAAAGAATCCCAATAAAGAACACAGGAATACAAGCAATTAAGCAACTGTATAACATGCAAGGAACACAAATAGAAACACAAAAGCATTTTATAAGAAAATTAGCGAGCAGAACAAAACCTTTAAAGGAAAGATAAAAGGCATAAAGGATAGAAATGGAAAAGTATCAGAAAATGACAAAGAGTTTAAAGAAATCTGGACTGATTATTTTAAAGAATTATTAACAGTACAAGAGGACGAAGACTTAAATGAAAATGTGGAAGAAGAGACCACGATGATAGAAACCGAGCTAGAAAAACCAACGAGAGATGAAGTTGAGAAAATTATAAACAGTAGTCGCAACGGTAAAGCACCAGGTATAGACGGTATAAACATGGAACTAATAAAATATGGTGGACATGAACTCAGAGAAAAAATATACCAATTAATAAAAGTCATATGGGACAAAGAAAAGATGCCAGAAGAATGGCACAAAGGACAAATTATCACAATCCATAAAAAAGGAGACCAACAAATGTGTAATAATTATAGAGGACTGACATTATTAAACACAGCGTATAAAATCATGTCAACTTTAATACAACGAAGACTGGCCAAAGCGACAACAAATATCATGGGACAGTATCAATGCGGATTTATTAGGGGAAAGTCAACAACAGATGCCATACATACGGTAAAGCAAATTATGGAGAAAGCTTATGGATATAAAATAGAAATTGAACTGCTTTTTATATACTTCCAACAAGCATTTGATTCAATAAACAGAGCGAAATTACTGACAGCTATGAGAGAAATGAGAATACACAACAAATTAAGACGATTAATAAAAATGACAATGAGCAAAACCGTAGTAACTGTAAAAACACAAGAAGGAGACACAGAAGAATTTGTTATAAATAAAGGTGTACGTCAAGGAGATTCATTATCTGCAACTCTGTTTAATCTTGCCCTGGAATATATAGTCAGAAAAATCAACAAAGGTACACTTAGAACGAGAGAGGGACAAATAATAGCATATGCCGACGATATTGTGATAATAACAAAGAACAGAAAAAAAAATGGAAACTATGTTAAAAGAATTGGTAGCAGAAGGGAAAGTAATGGGATTAGTAATAAATCAAGAAAAAACAAAAATAATGAGATTTGACAAAAAATATGAAAACAAAAAGGTTAGACTGGGAGAATATATATTTGAAGAAGTAGAAAAGTTTAAGTATTTGGGAATATTATTAGCAAACAATGGAGAAAGGGAAACAGAAATTAAAGAAAGGATAATTACAGCAAATAAGACATACTATGCAAATAAAAAGCTTTTAAAAAATAAATTACTGAGCAAAAAATCGAAAATGAAAATATATAAAACAATAATTCGACCGACTATGATGTATGCTGCCGAAACCCTTAGCATGACAAAAAAACAAGAGGAAGACCTTAGAATACTAGAAAGGAAAATACTAAGAGCAATATTAGGACCAATAAAAATTAATGAAAACCAATATATACAAAGAACGAATCATGAACTACTAAACGAAATTAAAGAGGATATAGTTTGTAAAATAAAACAACAAAGGGCAAAATGGCTAGGACATATATGGAGATCAGGACAATCTACGACAATATTCTCAATATTGGAATGGACACCAGCTGGTAAACGAAGACGTGGAAGACCAAGATCTACATGGCTACAAGAAGTAACAAACGATCTCAACAGGGCGGGCATACGACAATGGAGAGAAAAAACCAGAGATAGGAAACAGTGGAGAAACATAACAAGAAAAATTAAATAAAGAAAATGAGGACTGATCTACCTCGTAAAATAGATCTAGAGAGCTTAAGCGGCGTAACCCCGTACGGGGTGTTTAGCCACAAAATATATAAATATATAACATGCAAGGTCACGAATTAAAATAGGGAATAAAATATCCAGGGCTACTGCCTATCTCCTACACCGTTCAAAATATATATAAATTCAGCAGTAAAACTTGGCATATAATTGAATGACGAAAGAACTTTATATATACCCTATATCTTGTCGACTACCAGGTTGTGATAGCGCAAGATAAATATTTATTTCAAGGCAAGTATTTGACTATGAACTGGAAAATAAAGAATTATCTTGATTTTATGCCTCTAACCATTCTTCTTCTTTAAGTTCCATCTTCAATCGAAGGTTGGAAATCATCATGGCTATGCGGACTCTGTTGACTGCCGCTCTAAAAAGTTCTGCACTACTGCATTCAAACCATTCCCTTAAGTTCTTAAGCCAGGATATTCTTCGTCTTTCCACATTTCGCTTTCCTCGGATTTTGCCCTGCATAATAAGTTGTAATAATGCGTATTTTTGCCCTCTCATCACATGTCCCAAGTACTCAAGTTTTCGTCTTTTAATAGTTAATATTATTTCCGCCTCATTTCCTATCCTTCTAGTTACTTCCATGTTTGACATTCTTTGAATCCATGATATTCGTAGGATTCTTCTGTAACACCAAAATTCAAAGGCGGCCAGCTTATTCAGATGAACTTGTTTTAGTGTCCAAGCTTCCAGACCATAAAGAAGAGTAGAGAACACGTAACATCGAAGCATTCTCAGGCGTAGTTCTAACCTTATATCCCGACAACAAAGAAACTTTTTAAGTTTAATAAATGATGTACGTGCTATTTCAATACGTGTCTTAATTTCTTTGGTTTGGTCTACATCTGATGTTATCCATGTTCCTAAATATTTATAGTTATTAACATTCTCAATTGCAGTATCTTCAATGGTCAATTGGATATTTGCATGTGCAGATTTAGTCATGATCATGCATTTAGTTTTCTTTAAATTTATCTTCAGTCCGTACTCATGACAGCGTTCATTAAGGCGTTGCATTAGGTTCTGTAAATCATTGTTGTTATCCGTAATTATTACTGTATCGTCTGCAAAACGTAAGTTATTCAAAACTTCTCCATTGATAGATATACCTTCTATTGAGTCTGAGAGCGCTTCTTGAAATACCGCTTCACTGTAGACATTGAAAAGTAGTGGGGACAGCACGCAATTCTGGCGGACTCCTCTCTGTATTTTGATATTTTCGGTGTACTGGCTGTCAACTCTTACCTTGGCAGTTTGATTCCAATATAAATTAATCTTCATATAATTTTGATATAATTTTCAGATCACGACTGTCAATATTTTTGCTATATCTACAAGCTTTTTATGTTGAACTTTATCAAATGATTTTTCAAAGTCTACAAAACATAAGTACATATCCTGATTCATGTCCATGCATCTCTGAGCCAGCACATTCAAGCCGAACAAAGCATCTCTTGTACTCATACCATTTCGAAAGCCAAATTGTGTGTCACTAATCTCATATTCAAGAGTTTTAACAATTCTGCTGTGAATTATTTTCAAAAATGTTTTAAGTGTGTGACTCATTAAAGCTATGGTTCTGTGGTCTGAGCAAGTTGTTGAACTTGGTTTTTTGGGAATTGCTACAAAGGTTGATTGCAGCCATTGTCTGGGGATTGTGGCACTCTGATATATTAGATTAAAGAGTTCAACCATTACATCAATAATATCTTCATCGATGAGTTTTAATAATTCGATGGGCACCTCATCTGGTCCAGTAGCTTTACCCTCTTTTGTGTTTTTGATGGCATAGATGACTTCTTCTCTTAATATTGGTGGTCCAGTATCCTCGGTGATTTCTAATGACAGTTCTTCTCTTTCATCGTTAAATAATTGTTGAATGTAATTGGTCCAGTGACATAATCTCTCCTTCATATCAGTACCTATCTCTAACCATTACTGAACCTTTAAACCTTTAAAGGAGTACGAGAAGTGGGGTCAAACAGAATCCTAGCCTAAATCACTGATAGTATGGGTTAACTATTATTGATAAATGGTTTATAATTAACTTATATATTAATTTATAATTAAGTCGCAAAATATGGCCAGGTACCACCACTAATAATGTGAGTTGACACAATTTATGATGGATACAAGGCTAGTTAAAATCCATAACCAGGGTAGTGTAATACCTGTATCACTAAATTAACATTAATATAATAGTACCAGATGTCTCACTATTTCATACACAGTAAAAAGTGGAAAGTATAATTTTCACCATATAATATTACGTCTACAGGCAGTGTACATCGATTTTCCCACCGTTTGAGGCTGTTGCCATCTAGTAGTGATATCACTGAACCTATAAAAAATTACGTTGAAACTAAGGTACAGAGATTTACATTACTTATTATTATTCAGACTTATGTTTCAATATACATTGTTTTGATGGTTTTTTGTGAGGTTATATTCTAGTTGTGAATAAATAATTGTTTATACGAAATTTAAGGTGAGTTTTAAGAATTTAAATATTATTTTTCTATTATTATGACTTTTATACAGACATTCATATAAAAACAATGATAATAGAATGTATTTTATGTATGCTAAATCTATATTTCTAAATGGGTTGTATGCTTCCCTCCCTTCGTTGCTCATCTTTATTATTTTATTTGAAAAATGTAAGATCTAGATAACCCCAGAGATACTAAGGCTGCATTAGCTTATTTATATTCTTTACCTCATATTGAC